TTCGTTCGTTCGTTCGTTCTTCTTCTTCTTCTTCTTCTTCTTCTTCTTCTTCTTCTTCTTCTTCTTCTTCTTCTTCTTCTTCTTCTTCTTCTTCTTCTTCTTCTTCTTCTTCTTCTTCTTCTTCTTCTTTCTTTTTTCTTTTTCTTCTTTTACTTCTTCTTCTTCTTCTTCTTCTTCTTCTTCTTCTTCTTCTTCTTTCTTTTTTCTTTTTCTTCTTTTACTTCTTCTGCTCTTCCACCATGTATCTCAGCGAAGTGTCGGGAAGAGATGTAACATTCGTTGATAATCTCTGTCAAGATAATTATTAAGACTGATGTTAATAAAGGTAAGGCTGTTCTTCAAATCACAATTCCATCTTTTCTGAAGTCTTCCACTAGCTCTTTACACGTTGCAAAGATTTAGTGTGGGTCACTATGGTAGATAGTACCAGGGCATTCTTGTTGGGGATCCAAACCATTTCATTTGTTGTTCTTTGATTACTTTTAAGACTGGCTTTTTCCCTAGCATTCGTCTAATTTCGTGATTTCACATTGTCTTCCCTTTAAACTCTTGCAGCTCTTTTAAGTCATTTCATCTCTGTTGTCAGTTTTACGTTCATTGCAGGATGTAAGTGTCAAGGCTTGGCACTGATAGCATAGTGTTGGCCATGCAATAGTTCCGATAAGATTCACTGATGTACTGACAGCATTTCATTAATAAAAATCGTCTCCCCCATAGCCTCTAGGTGCTGTAGGTGGCTAAATCGTCTCCTCCATAGCCTCTAGGTGCTGTAGGTGGCTAAATAGTCTCCCCCATAGCCTCTAGGTGCTGTAGGTGGCTAAATCGTCTCCCCCATAGCCTCTAGGGGCTGTAGGTGGCTAAATCGTCTCCCCCATAGCCTCTAGGTGCTGTAGGTGGCTAAATCGTCTCCGCCATAGCCTCTAGGGGCTGTAGGTGGCTAAATCGTCTCCCCCATAGCCTCTAGGGGCTGTAGGTTGCTAAATTGTCTCACCCATAGCCTCTAGGGGCTGTAGGTGGCTAAATCGTCTCCCCCATAGCCTCTAGGTGCTGTAGGTGGCTAAATCGTCTCCCCCATAGCCTCTAGGTGCTGTAGGTGGCTAAATCGTCTCCCCCATAGCCTCTAGGTGCTGTAGGTGGGTGACTGTATTTTTTTTTAATTGACACCTGTATCACAGGAATCTCTGGCTATACCTGATTACAGTTCTCACACAGGTAAGTCGTGCCTAACCTCTCACCTGCTGTGTGCCTTGCTGAGCCTAACCTCTCACCCGCTGTGTGCCTTGCTGAGCCTAACCTCTCACCCGCTGTGTGCCTTGCTGAGCCTAACCTCTCACCCGCTGTGTGCCTTGCTGAGCCTAACCTCTCACCCGCTGTTTGCCTTGCTGAGCCTAACCTCTCACCCGCTGTTTGCCTTGCTGAGCCTAACCTCTCACCCGCTGTGTGCTTTGCTGAGCCTAACCTCTCACCGGCTGTATGCCTTGCAGATATCGACGAATGCAAGACTGGTCACTCCTGCCAGCAGACATGTACCAACACCTTGGGCAGCTACAGATGTGGTTGCAGAGCTGGCTTCGTCATCAACCCCAATGACACCAGCAAATGTTTACGTAAGACTTCAAAAATTTGAAACTTGCTATAAATCTTAATTTTGTATCTAGCTAAAATTGAATAAACTAAACTTTGCTATAATTTTTTTATCTGGGTAAAATTACATAAACTAAAACTTACTATGAATCTACACTTTGTATATCGGTAAAATTAATAAAACTAAAACTTACTATAAATCCCCTTTTTTTACATCTGGGTACAAGTGTATATACTATAACTTACTATAAATCTTTACTCTGTGTCCGGGTAAAATTGTATCAACAAAATCTTATTATAAATCAATACTTTGTATCTGGGTAAAATTGTATAAACTAAAACTCACTAAAATCTTTACTTTGTATCTAGGTAAAATTGTTTAAATTAAAACTTATTATACATCTTTACTTTTCATCTTAGTGAAATTGTATCAACTAAAACTAAATAAAAATTACTTTGTATTTGGGTAAAATTGTATAAACTAAAACTTACTATAAATCTTTATTGCGTATCTCGGTAAAATTATATAAAATAAAACTTACTATAAATCTTTACTTTGTATCTGGCTAAAATTGTATAATTAATTGTATAAACTAAAACTTACCATAAATCTTTACTTTGCATCTGCGTAAAATTGTATAAACTAAAAATTACTATAAATCTTTTTTGTGTACCTCGGTAAAATTGTATAAACTAAAAATTACTATAAATCTTTACTTTGTGCCTAGGTACAATTGTATAAACTAATTGTATAAATTAAAACTTACTATAAATCTTTACTTTGTATCTAGGTGAAATTGTTTAAGCTAAAACTTTACATAAATCTGTATTGTGTTTGTCAGACATCAGACAATGTCCCGCCTCCACTAACGCCGACTCCCTTGTGTGTGTCGGAAATCCGACAATGTCCCGCCTCCACTAACGCTGTTCACCATGTGTGTCCCGGAAATCCGACAATGTCCCGCCTCCACCAGCGCCGACCCCCTTGTGTGTGTCGGAAATCCGACAATGTCCCGCCTCCACTAACGCCGACCCCCCTGTGTGTGTCGGAAATCCGACAATGTTACGCCTCCACTAACCCCGACCCCTTGTGTGTGTCGGAAATCCAACAATGTCCCGCCTCCACTAACGCCGACCCCATTGTGTGTCTCGGCAAATCCGACAATGTCCCGCCTCCGCTAACGCTGTTCACCTTGTGTCCGTTAGAAATCCGACAATGTCCCGCCTCCACTAACGCCGACCCCCCTGTGTGTGTCGGAAATCAGACAATGTTACGCCTCCACTAACCCCGACCCCTTGTGTGTGTCGGAAATCCAACAATGTCCCGCCTCCACTAACGCCGACCCCATTGTGTGTCTCGGCAAATCCGACAATGTCCCGCCTCCGCTAACGCTGTTCACCTTGTGTCCGTTAGAAATCCGACAATGTCCCGCCTCCACTAACGCTGTTCACCTTGTGTCTGTCAGAAATCCGACAATGTACAGCACTGGTGGACATTATTTTCGTCCTGGATGCCTCGGGCAGCATGGGGTCACCGAAGTTCAAGACGCAGCAAACATTTGTGGCCAAGCTGACCCACCACTTCACTGTAGGCCCTAACGGAGCCCTGTTTGGCGGCCTGCTCTTCTCCACTGATGTTGAGAAGCTGTTTGATTTAAAAAATGTCACGTCTCGCACAGACGTCACCACGGTCAGTTATCGTTCAGTTGTCATTGAAGTCAGTTATCGTTCAGTTATCCCTTTTGTCAGTTATAGTACAGCTATAATTCATTTATCATATGGACTGAATGTTTCTAAGATTTTTTATTCATTATTCTTGAGACAAGACAGGTGAGAAAATAGTATTTGCATTGATTGCAATCAGTGAGCAACAACAGAAGTCCTTTCTTAAGCAAACAGGAAGGTATTGGGGCCTGTTTGCTGGGGGAAGAGGGAAAAGAGCTGTAATTTGTGAAAGTCATTGTGGTGTGCAAAGCGTTAATGAAGCGAGAACTTTGTGAAGCGTGGGTATACACAGGCATTCGTGTTGTGTTGACGGATTGTGAATGTAAACGTTTAAGCCCAAAAAAAATTGTGATACATGGGTTGATAGATACGGTGGGCTGTAAACCCCGTGTTTTGACGAGCAAGTGAGATCCACGCAACACAGACAGCGAGTTTAACAATCCCGTGGTAGCTTTAGTCGGTCGCTGTAAGTCAATTTATGTGTGTAGACGTGTGCGGGAATTTTTGAAGTGTGTAGACGTGTGCGGGAATTTTGAAAGTGTGTAGACGTGTGCGGCAATTTTGGAAGTGTGTAGACGTGTGCGGGAATTTTTTAAGTGTGTAGACGTGTGCGGGAATTGTGGAAGTGTGTAGACGTGTGAGGGAATTTTTCAAGTGTGTAGACGTGTGCGGGAATTGTGGAAGTGTGTAGACGTGTGCGGGAATTTTTCAAGTGTGTAGACGTGTGCGGGAATTTTTCAAGTGTGTAGACGTGTGCGGGAATTTTTCAAGTGTGTAGACGTGTGCGGGCATTTTGGAAGTGTGTAGACGTGTGCGGGAATTTTTCAAGTGTGTAGACGTGTGCGGGAATTTTTCAAGTGTGTAGACGTGTGCGGGAATTTTTGAAGTGTGTAGACGTGTGCGGGAATTTTTGAAGTGTGTAGACGTGTGCGGGAATTTTTGAAGTGTGTAGACGTGTGCGGGAATTTTGGAAGTGTGTAGACGTGTGCGGGAATTTTGGAAGTGTGTAGACGTGTGCGAGAATTTTTCAAGTGTTATGGACGCATGCACTTTTTTGAGTAACCGTTGCAACCAAATGTTTTTGTCTGCTAGAGCTAGGGTGAACTGTCCAGAGGACTGTGGTGGATCATGAGTTGCAATTCTTTTGTGTTTATATATATATATATATATATATATATATAGGCTCTCCTCCGAACTTCTACCCCCGCATTATGGCGGCCAAATAAATGTCCTTACAGGGCTCAGTCTTATTAAAAATATGCGAACTTCCGGCGACGAACGCGTGAGCGGTGTGCGGGACATGCGGCGTGGGGATGCGCTCGGCGGTGGCGGAAGTCGCCGGAAGTACGCAATTGACACGTGACTGAGGCCTTTTTAGGGTATATTTTCTGCCTCGATAATTTTGGGACCGTTATTTGGAAGATAACCTATATATATATATATATGTATATATATATATAATATATATATATATATATATATATATTATATATATATATATATATATATATATATATACATTCAACAGTCTCTGCTGGGAGCCCCATATTTAGGAGGAGGAACTAACACCCATCTGGCATTAAAATACATAGACGAGAACAAGATGTTCTCCCCTGCCAGTGGTGGACGCAGCAACGCTCAAGACGCTTTGGTGATTGTTACCGATGGAGACGCTAGCCAAGAAGCCGCGGGTAAGTAATCTATCCTTTAATCGGTTGCCATTTAGGGTAACAATGGAACCAGCAGTAAGTGATCCATCCTTTAACCTGTTGGAATTTAGTGTAACAATGGAGCCAGCAGTAATTAATCCACCAAAAACACCCGATGACACGGATGACTTTCATCAGACCAGCCAAAATAATTCACGTTTACATATGTTCTCAAGTACGGCGTCATGATAACCAATGAGAACATTGTTAATAAATTACGTGTTATCTTATCGTATTATGACAACCTATTTCAACATTGTTTATAAATTGGATGTTATCTTATTGTTCGCATTCTTTCCACGAATCGGGCACAGACAGCAGCTATAGATGACTTTAGATGTGGACTGATTTGGGCTCCAGCATGAACCAAGCACAGCAAACATCGATGACTTTAGATGTGGTCTGTCTTGAGCTCCGGCACGAATATATGACTTTAGATGAGGTCTGTCTTGAGCTCTAGCACAAACCAAGCACAAAACAAATAGATGACTTTAAATGTGGTCTGTCTTGAGCTCCGGCACGAACCAAGCACAGACAGCAGCTATAGATGACTTTAGATGTGGTCTATTTTGAGCTCTAGCACTAACCAAGTGCAGTGATCTTCATTGTTATTAATTGCTGGCTCGAATGAGTCACCGCATCTTTCCATTCACCAACTGACAAGAACGAGAAAACATGGACGCTGGCAGACGTTCAGAAGTTGCACGTACTGTTTACTTTCACTCGCTGATGTTGCAGTCAGTAAATGTTTATACACGACAATATCATTCATCGATTATTAATGTTATGCTCTAAACAGTCAATCATACCTTGGTAACATCGTAGAATTCACACAACTTAGCGAAACACAGTAAAGACTAATTCCCTCCATCCAGACGACAGTCATTCACAGCTGGCCACCGTTTCCGTCAGCCGCTATTTTATGCCAGGTAGGCATTGGGAAATCACGCTATTCAGACGACAACATTCTTCCGGACTTCTCACACGTACACCTTCTCTTGGCCTAAACGAGACTGCCTCCCAAACCTTTCTTCGCTATTATATAGCCCTCTGATCTGTCATGTTCTCGAATATTCTGGATAATTTCATTCTCACGAATTCCCCACCGTTGAAAGTCGTGTCTGGCCTGTGATAATTCGCATTTCACACGAATCCTGCCAGTCAACCTTCATGGTTCACGTGAACAATCATGTTTCACATAAAACCTGACTTTCAGATGTCTCTCATGAAACTCAAGACATAAATCTCGTGTTATCTCAGTCAGTCAAAACATTCGCCTTACATTTATTACTGACGTCATCTATCGGGCATAACTTAATGAGGAGAAAATGACTCACCACATTCTCCCCCACCCCAAAAAAAATGTTTTACATTCTCAATCAATCAGGTGTGAACATTTCACTGAACATGGTGATTCTAGACCTTTGTAGTGAATCATTTTCGACAAGTTCATTTCCAACCAAGTTCCCTCAACCTCATTAGGTCAACAATTCAAACACTCTAATATGCCATCTGTTGGGTCCTTGCACGACTGTGAATACCTTAATGGGATCCTCACCCCAGGCACTCCCCTTTTAGTGCGGAAGACCAATAATCTGGCTCCATAGGTATCCCCACCCAGTTCTAAAGTCGGTATACAACCGAACCCCTCTCCTGACACCCCCCGATCGGTGCGGAAGTCCAAAATCTTGGCTCTAATACCGAAGTGTGACCCCATGAAGTCCCACCCTCGATATTCCCATTCATGAAAGCCCTCAACAATGGCTAAATCAGCAATGTATGGTTTTGTTCCCAAATATGTAAGGTACGAGATGTAGTTAATTACCTTGTCTTCAGACACTACAGCATGTCTCATTAACACACATATTCAAATTAAATGCTACACCAATTCAATTCTGTATACTAGTAAATGTAACATTTTCTGGTGAGGTGTATTTTAACCCTGAATGTTGTCTCCCTTTAATTCTACTTGTTTCCTTTATTATACCCGTTCAAATCAAAACATATACATTTTTCCTAGTTGTAAATTCATATAATACATTCATACAATAATAGAATGCATACCCTTGCATAAAATGATTTCAGTTAATACAAGTTGTAATAGCAGTTGCAACATATTCTTCAAACGTGACATGATATCTGGTAAATGATTGTCTGTTCCTTTGATGTGTTCAATGTTAAATTTGATTTGTGATATCAACAATGCCCATCTATATACCCTTGGATTGCTATTGGCATCAATTGTTAATAATTTTGTCAACCCCAAGTTATCTGTCAAAATAGTGAATTCTTTTCCCAAAAGAAACTTCTGAAACTTTTTTAGACTAATGACTAGTGCCAACGCTTCTCGTTCAAATGTATTGTATTTTTGTTGAGTTTGGTTAAGTTTCTGTGACATATACATTACTGGGAGTAATGTTTGTGAATGTTTCTGCGCAAGCATACTAGCTATTGTGTGACCGCTGGCATCTGATTGTAAAAAAAATCTTTTGGAAGGGTCAGGTTGTCTCAAAATAGGATATTTTGAAAAACAGTTTTTTTTTTTATTTTAACTAGAATTTCCTCATGTGTTTCATTCCAATCTGATTTTTTTCAATTGTTGATTCTTTAATAACTCTGATAGTGGTGATGTTAGTGCTGCTAAGTTTGGAATGAATTTACCATAATAGTTTATTAACCCTAGTAGAGATTGGAACTGCTTTTTAGTTTTAGGTTTTTGGATCTTCAAAATTTTCGAAACAATATTTTCATCTGTCTGGGCTAAACCTTCGCATATAACATCAATTTTGGTGTATGCAATTTCAGTTTTTAAAGGATTCACTGTCAATTTCGCGTCATTTATTCTTGATAGGACTTTTTGTAGGGTAGTGCAGTGGTCGTGCAATGTTTTGGTGTGTATACAGATGTCATCCATGTATGCTGTGACGTGAGGAATTGCATATAACAGTTTCCTAACCATTTTTTTGAAAATTTTCGGATCGTTTATTAAACCAAATGGTAAACGCAACCATTGTTTGAGTCCAATTGGAGTTTGAAAGCTAGTATATTTTACAGCTTCTGGTGTTAGTGGTATTTGCCAGTAGCCTTTTGAAAGGTCAATTTTTGTAAAAAATTTTGAGTTGTATAATTCTTGTATGATTTCATCTGACGAAGGGATGGGCTCAGTTTCTAAATAGGTAATTTGGTTTAGTTTCCTATAATCAACACACAAACGTAGTGAACCATCTTTTTTCTTTACTACGACTAAAGGCGAACTGTAGTTTGATGTGGAATCTTCAATTATTCCTTCTTGTTGTAGTTGTTGCAATTCTGATATAACCTTATCGATATAATGGATAGGTATTACATATGGTTTTGATTTCACTGGCACTGATGAATTCAATTGGATATCGTAACTGATTATGTTAGTTTTCCCAGGTTTATTCGTGAAAATATCTTTGTAATGAAAAATGATGCTCCACAATTTTGCTTTTTCATTTTCTGATAGTTCTCCATTTAACTTTATCGATTTCCAGTTGACTTCATTCTTTGTTGATGGTGTTGGAATATCTTCTTCTATAACATCAGGTAAATCTTCATTAATTACATTACATAAATTTGCATCAAGTTCATCATCATCTGACATTAATAGTGATCTTCTAAAATATGGTTTAAGCATGTTTACATGAAAAATTTTTAGCTTTTCATTAATTTTGATTTCATAATCAACATCAGAAATCTTTCTTGTGACAACAAAAGGACCTGACTATTCTATACATAATTTGTCTGACTTTTCTTGGTAACAGTAATAACACTTCATCACCAGGGTTATATTTCACAAGTCTTGCTATTCTATTCGCATACTGTCGCTGTTTTGGACTGGCTTCTTTCATTGTTTCGTTTGCTTGTTGACAAGCAATCATTATTTTATTTCTCAGATCTGTTACTGATTCATAAGCTGATTTTTCTGTATCCGTTTCTGTTTTTCCTGTGATAAGCTTATTATATAGCTGAAATGGTCCTCGAGGATTTGCTCCATATACAGGTTCAAATGGTGAAAAACCTGTTGAGCTATGAAGAATTTCTCTATATGTAAACATAATGGCAGGTAATAAAGTATCCCAAGACTGCGGATGTTCAAATGATATTCTGGCAAATTAACAAAGAAACAAAAATTACAATTTTTTTGATTTTATACACCCAAAATCTTCTTGTAAGTTTTCCATGAATGTAACTAATTTATATTCTGTTTGTTTAATTGTGGATTTGACTGTAGCAATAAAACTTTGTAATTACCGAATGTGGAAAGTGTTTTGAATACATCATCTGTAAAAGTAGTAGTTTTAGCAACAACAGTGTGAGTAGTGTAGCACTTCTAAGAATTTGACAAGTTTTTGTAGTAACAAATAGTTGAGAGTTGTAGCAATCTTTGTAAATAGGACTTTTAGTCAGAAGAAGTTGGATCTGGATGCTTTGGATAATACAGAATGAATCAAGATTGTATGTTTGGCATGTTATCAACAGAATTTGCCACATGGTAAGTAAGATGTACTGTATTAGCCAAATGCAATTACTTGTATAGTATGAGGATTTTTCATAATATTTTTCTCTCTTGAGTTGTGGTCACCTTTTGATAAATTACTAATTTCAAGTTTTTCATTATCTGCAACTCTTCTTAGTGTGTTCTTTCTTGCATCACTATTTCTCAACTTCACACTTTCATTCAGCATGGATGGTGTGTTTTTACCACACAATGCATTGTCATTCGTGTCTCTTGCATTCAGTATTTCTTTCATATCATTATCTTTACACTCAATATTCTCATATTGTACTCCTTTCATACATTTATCCTTACACTCTGTATTCTCATTCCTTTCATTCTGCTTCTTTTTTGTGCTGATACTTTCACTCATTCTTGCATGACTGATTGACTGCTCCCTATTCTTGGATGAGTCACTTTCATTCCCTTGCTTTCTTGCATTCACACTATGGCAAAGATCTTG